TTTGAAGCCCTGGGGCTTCAAACCTTCATTTTTTACATTTTTAAATATACATATTCTAAAACTAAATTAATAAAATTTAATTTTTTCATTATATTGAAACAAGAATAATAAAAAAATACATTCATTAAATTTAAAGAAATTGAAACGACAATAATTTTAAAAAATTACATTCATTAAATTAAAAAAAGAAAGTGACATTAATTTAAACGACAATAATTCATTAAATGAAAATAATTAACTTCAACAAAAAAAGAACATTTAATTAAAAAATTACATTAATTAAATACTTAAAACAAATTATATTAAGCTTTGATCTCGTTATGTCTTCTCTCTAAAGTAGATTATATTCAATTGGTCATTTGACTCGAGACCGGACAAATGAACATAAAAAATGAAGACATTCATGTTAAAAAAGATGAAAAAAATTGAATATTTTTTTTTAAATTTGAAGAAGATAGAGAAAAAGATTTTGTGGGTGTTTAATTTTTTAAAAAATAATTGAAGAAGAAAGATTTTGTTTGTGAGGTTTATTTTTAAAAAGAATAAATTGAAGAGGAAAATATTTTGTGGGTGTTTATAGGAAGAGTTTTTTTTTTAATTTGATGAAGATGGGCAAAACGCACGTTAAAGGTTTAACGCAATCAAAATTACGCCCAGATAAAGCCCCAGGGGGGCGGTGTTTAACGCCCCTGGGGCGTTTAAAGTGCAGTCACGCCACTGGGCGTTACATGCATTACCAGTGCTCTTAGTGATTGAGGCACATAACTCAAATGTCACCACTATAGTGATGAGTATTAGTGGTTGTATCTAATATAATGATTTTAGAAATGCTAGGGTACATCAAAAGGTATCTGAAATGTCTCCAACTCCCTCCTTGACCACAAAAATTGACAAGTAAATTTTAAAAAAATAAATAAATAAAATCAAATAAAAATGGATGGTAGTAACATGTGATCTACATTTGGAGTACACCTTTAGTGTACCCTTAGCATTGCTCTAATGACTTATATATACTCACGCTATATTAGTGAGTACAAGTCTATGTTCCATAAAAGCAGCCCCTACTATGTTGCACGAATTCTTTAAATAGGTACTGCTTCCCGTCCTCAAAACGCCCTCGTTCGGGCACTTGAGAGCGTCTCCACATCTAAATCCTTTATAAATTATGAAAAAATTGATGTTTCACGCCTCCGACCCCATCCTCGTCCCCGTATATGTCACCGTCCTCGTCTTGGTGCAACTTAGGTCTCTTAGTGTGGTGAAGACCAGAGTTGTCTAGGACGCAGATAATGCAAACAAACTTAAAAAGTGATGGTTCCCATGACATTGCCGGGCAATGTCATGGGATGACCTGGGGCGCTCCGGTGTCTCGTTCGTAAAGAGACTCCATCAAGTAGTCCGACGATATGGTGCCCCACTGGAAGTGCAATAGTCGGCACACAGTAAGCAGTTTTCCTAATGTTTTCTCGCTATTGAAGCTTCATCAATTCAATCGTTAGTATACGACATCGTTTTACTGTTTAATTTTATAAAATCTTAAAGGATAAAACGATATCGTTTGAGCCAGGGTTTTAATCTCCCCGTTCGGCCACTTCTATTTGGTTGTTGAAGTCTTAAATGTTTCGGAGTAAATTATGGTGTTATACCATACATTAGGGCTGGACACGGTACCCGTTCGGTACCGTCACCGGAAACGGTACCGCCGGTACCGAGCACCGTGACGACCACCGGGACGGCTTAACGGTTCCGAGAACCGGCACCGGTACCGCCACATCCGGTCTCGGTTCCGGTGCCCCAAAATCGTTACCGGCACTGCCGGTACCGGTGCCGGTTCCGGGACCGATTATATTTTCTTTTTCTCCTTTTTGCTCTAATGCNAAAAAAAATATAAATCAGAGTTATTTGTTTATCATTTTGACAAAGAAACAAAAGATGGCGTAGTTTATGGAACTTGTAAACATTGTGGGACCGTCATAAAAATGGGAGTCTCCGGCGGTTATGGCGGTCCGGAAAAACACCTAAGGTCGAGGCATCCCGTGGAGTTTGCCAAATACGAGGCAAAAAAGAAGGGACAACAAGAAGTGCAAACCCAAATTTCTCGGTTTGCTAACAGAGGTAAGGGCGGCCTTTTTGCTTATAGCGACGAGCAAAATAAGCAAAAAATGGCTGAAATGATTTGTGAAGAAAATTTGCCATACATGTTTTCTGAAAAACTTGGATTTATTGATTATTGTCAACAAGCATTAAACCCTCAAGCACGAGGTTTTTCAAGAAAAACAATTAAACGAGAAATTATTCGTCAGTATAAAACTGGAAAAATAAATTTGGCAAATTTTTTTCTCAATTTTAATTCTCGTGTTGATATTTGTTCTGATATTTGGAGTGAAACTTATCATAATTTGTCTTATATGGGTGTTACTTGTCATTGGATAGATAGTGATTGGATTATGCATAAACGTGTTCTTGCATTTCGTGGTTTCAATGAACAGCATAATGCTGAAAATATTTTCCTATTGCTTCAGAGTATTCTGCGGGAATACAACTTATCTGACAAAATGTTTTCATTTGGTTTTGATAATGCTACTAATAATACTGCAGCTATTCCTAGACTTAGAGAAATTTGCCCACCATCTACGTCTATGGGTAGATTTCTGCATCAACGGTGTGCCTGTCATGTTTTAAATTTATGTGTTCAACAGGGACTAGAAGCTATGGGCGGAGTTTTGACGAATATTAAAGAAGGAATTTAAAAAATTTGGGGGGCTCGTCTTGTTTCAAGGTCCTGGAAGATGTTCTGTAAGTCTAAGGGTAGAAAAGAAATAGTTTTTGCCAAAGATATCCACATTAGATGGAATAGTACATACAAATTGATTCACCAGATTCTAAAATATAAAGAGGAACTTGCTGAATTTTTTAGGGATGAATTTCGTATAATCATTGATCCTTTTGAATTTGTTATTGTTGAAAAATTGAATGCCGTATTAGAAGTTTTTAATAACGCAACTCTTACTTTTTCTCATGTTTACCAACCAACTACAAATACATTTTTAAAAGAGTGCGTTACAATCGCAACATGTTTTCGTGAAAGTAAGGCTGATCCAGATTTGTACCCATATGTCTCTCCTATGATACAAAAATGGTGTGCTTATTATTTGTACATTCCTGATATTTATAAAATAGGTATTATTTGTGATCCACGCTTTAAGATTGAAAATTATAAAATTTTAATTGAGTATTACTACAGTTGTTT